TCATTTAAACTTACACACCTAGTCAAGGAAGGCAAACACAAAAATATCCAATTGAACTTGTCCAAGCAAAGGAAACGAGAAAATAACTCCCAGCATTATTATCATCAAATGATATCATCCATGAGAATGATGATAACGGATATTCTTTATTTCCTTTAATAAACGAATAAATGAGTTTCGGTTGCGAATAAATTCAATTGTTTCCTATTGATGAAATTTCTCGATAAAATAATTTCCACTCCCAGTCAGCTGGGAAGGTAAAAGGCAACAAAGACATGAATCAGATTAAAAGAAAATGTTTCTCTGAAACTGATTAATTCCATGAAAATAGCATCTGTCTGTGGTTCAATAAACTGTGAAAATGATAAACAAATTGTAATTATTTCAACTTCACCAATCCAATTTGATTTAGTAAAGGCAATTGGTTTGCTTAATCAAATTACTCAACTCGAGATTGAATAAATATTCCGACAATTGCTTCTCCAACTGTTTGATAATTAAGTCAAGTCATTATGAAAATGTCGAGTTGAGTTCAGTTGAAGCTAATGAGGAGGCCAACAAAGACAAAATGTCTAGCTCTTAATGAAGCTTCACCTTTCCATCCTTTTTTCCCATTCCCAGTTAAACATTTGAAATATTTTTATTCTCATGTAACCAAAACTAGGCAAAAGATGACTCCAGGCAATAAAGATAATAATATTTAATGAGACATAAGTTGATCAACAAGATTAATTTGGTTGCTCATCAAAATGGAAACAGATTGATTTGCTCAATTGCAAATCAAACTCGCAAAGTAAATCGATAAATTTTCATTTAGAGAATTGCCTCAAAACTAATTTTCATTAAACCATTTAATAAAAGTTATTGAAAGTTCATTTGCTATTCAAAGTTTACTTTGAATAATTCAATAGGTAAACTCGTAAAATGAAGGCAAATGTAAACTCAACTTTAATGAAATAAATGCAAACTGACAGCAAACAAAGTAAACTTAAAACGTTGTATTTAAATTTCAATTTTACATTTGACAAAATAAACGTTTAAAAGACATAATTTCAAAGTGAATGCAATTAATGTTGACCTTTTCAACTCGACAAGAATGGTTCAAGTGAACACTTTATGCACACTTTAAACATTTAATGATAAACTGAAACAAGTCGAGACGAGATACAAATTGTCTAACGTGGTTAACCATATTAACTTGAAAACGAAACAATTTGAAACATTTCAAGAGAAAAGTGGAAAAAGGTTTTTCTCTTCAACATTGAACATAAAATATAAACTGCAAGTTTAATGGAAACGAACTAATCAAAGATAATCATTTTCAGATTAACAGTGAACAAAAAGTTCGAGTCTGGAAAGAGTAGGATTTCAAATGAACAATTAT